GTGTGTGTGTGTGTGTGTGTCACTCGAGCTATGACTGAATGCATGTTGGTGCCCAGAGCCAGAGAAACCCAGTGATGAATGAGGCTCCCATTTTCCAGCTCCTGCGAGGCCAACCAGAGCGAAAGCAAAATGGATGGGTGACATTAAGTCAACACCCGGCCAGCGCGGCTCCTTTGCACCATTCCTCTTTGGAGATGAATTCAGTGGCAAAAACTAATAAAGAATCTAATTATTACTGCTGAAATTTAAACTGACCTTCACCCGCCATCCTTCCCAAAGGCAACACTCTGATTGAAATGTTCATTTCAGAAATGAGGGGAAGAAAAAAAAAAAAAAAAGGATTTTTATACACAGTTTAATGGACTCGTGAGCTTGTATTGCTCCACGACAGCGCGGGGCTTTCAGATTCTAATAATGCATCTGATGAAAAGTCACTCATCCTGAGACATTCTCCAATGACACAGAAGGAAAGACATTTATTTGAACTTAACGGAGCAGTAAGTTCCCTGAACATCATCTCCTCTAAAGGCCTCAAAAGAACCTGATGAATGCTGATGAGTTGCTCAATCTACACAACCCCATCACTTCATTAGCGTCTAAAGCACTGCTCATTACTCACTGGTATTTCTGTGCATCCGCTAACACAATAACAAACTCATTGAAATTTCAACCTATCACATGAGTTGAGGGAGGTTATTGTTTCACAGCTGATGGGTGCTGTTTGAATTACAATATCCCACTAATGAAATGAAACGCAGTTACGTCCCCAGAGCCGTCGCTAGGCTCTACCTTCCCTCCCCTCCCATACTTATTAATAGTAATCCCATGTCAACCTCACCACCTTCTATGCACGCCTTTCCCTCCCACTCCGCCTCCCATAAAACAACATAGCGAGGGTAAACAAGCGGGGAGGGAGCACTGAGGAAATTCTAATTAAATATGGATTAATATAAAGGCTATGATGTTGGGTATGAGTCAAAGCAAACCCTGGGGCCCTGCCTCACACATTCAGCTCCCGTTCGTTTCCTTCTGTTCAGTCAATGTCGGATAATGATCTCTCCCACCGACTCAGACGGCCCTTTCATGCCACACAATGCCATGAAAGGGACTCGCTGACCAGCCAGAGATAATGCCTGATGCTTCTAAAATGTGCTTAAGCACGAACAGCGAGACATTATGCGGACAGAGGAGCGACTGTGCTAAAGATAGACAGAGGAAAAGACTTCACGCGGCATTTCCTTACCAGACAGTCCTTCAATGCTAAAAGGGCTTAGATAAACATTTTTAAAAAAAAGGCTAAAGAGGGGCAAATAAGACAGAAGATTGGCCCGAGGACCAGAGACATGACCCACTTGGGGAGAGCAGACAATTTGCCCTGAGCTCTGCAAACAATTAAATATGCACCAGAGACAGGTAATCATATTTTAATTAAGATGTTCCACAAGAGTCCAGACATCTCAGCCTCTGAAGATGACAGCGTGAGCGAGTTTTATTTTGGCCTCGGGCTATTTAATAGTTTAACTGCAGTAATTGTGGTGATTGGACCATGTTGGTAATTGCAATCGCAGTCTTTAAATGTGGCAGAGGGCTGGCGTGCCGTGAAAGCAAAGTTCAAGGTTTGCTCCCCCAACTTCCTATGACATTTATCAGACAGAGAGAACTAGAACAGTAACATTCATGCCTTGGCCAAATCGCTAACCCCGCTCACTGCATCTGAGCATCTAATCATCCTCGAGTCCGAGCTGCTGGATAAATCCTCTCTCTTCCACCATGACTGATTAGAGCCGGGTGCTCTCCAGTATAAAATGGCTGCAGCCCATCACCCAAGGCGGGGCCTTCCACGCCGGCTGTGGACGAGGACATTCAGCGGCACATCTTCAAAGACTTCTGAGATCCTGGGCACCAGGATTAAACGCTAATCTACGAAGATATTTCTCGCCGTCAAATCCAGCAGCGACAGTGGTGAGTAATTGCTATATGATCCATTCGAGTTCAGCATGGCAGAGTCTTATTACTCATAATTATGAGAGCAATTAGGCATTTGCAATTAAAATCTGAGAAATGTCCATTTGATTTGACCCTTCCACCATATTCTCTGCAGTCTTTTTTGACACTCCTTCCGTGCTAATGTGATTGGCCTTTCAGCTTCACTAACTCTTTTTAACAAGATGTAGCACTGGTGTGGCAGGATGGCGATGGTGTGTGTGTGTGTGTGTGTGTGTGTGTGTGTGTGTGTGTGTGGGTGTGGGTGAGAGAGAGAGAGAGAGAGAGGAGAGACAGCGATGGGGAAGAGGTGTATTAAGGTTGTCAGAATGTGGCCAGTGATCTTGGTCACAATGACAGCAGGTTTGTTTGACCAAGGTGAACAACGGGAGAGAAGTGCAGAGAAGGCCGCAGGAGGTCCTCATGAATATGGGTGAGAGTGTGTGTGTGTATGTTTATGTATGAATACTTCGGCCTCATTTCATTCTGACAAGACTACAAGACCATCAGTTGAAGAGTGGATATGTGTGCATATTAAGCTGCCAGGGACTGCTGACGGTGAGGAAGTGTTCACTGTTTGGTCGCAGGTGTTTCTGCATCTGAGAGAACAGGGGGAAGAAAAGGAAAGAAAATAGGGAGAGAGGAAAAGAAAGGGAGAGGAGGAGGAGGAGGAGGAGGAGGAGGAGGAGGAGAGCGAGGAAGAGATGGGAGGAGATGAGAAAGAGAGGGAGAGTAGGTCAAGAGAGGTACTGTGCTTATGGAAGCGTGACAAACATGGAGATAAAGGACACAGACGCAGGATAAGGCCTTGGGGCAGGAGGCAGAATTAATTGCCCCTGGCACACAAGGCCACTGGACAAATTGCCCTGGGTGGTCGACACGGAGGAGGGCTGCGACACGGTGACAAAGGTGTTACAGTGGAGAGAGGCTGGCGAGAGGCGAGGTTAATTAAACTCTTCAGTGTGAAACATTCTCATTCATTACCTTCATTACCCTGTTCATTTAATCTGCTCCGGTGTTGGCATTTTATCACATCCAGCCCCATTGTAGCGTCATACAGCTGATTAGGTTTCATGTTGAACCCCTGAGCTGCACAGGGGGTAAGTGAGAGTGAGAGTCAGTTTGGGTCTAACAGAATCAGCTACACACAGCACACGCCACAAAATAAACTGAGTTCACGCTGGACATACATTTTACTTGATTTTCCACCCTGGAATCAGTGGATTAGTCTTAAAAGTGGAAAATGAAAACCATTTTCACCCCCGGTCTCCAGCGAACTGTGCTGAGGCCAATATACAGCCCTGCATAAAAGAACTGAGGAGCGCGGCTCAAACGAGCATGAGTGCAGATCTGACAGCATGAACCAAATTCAGGGACTCGTCTTTATAACAACCACAACAAACCAAAACTTCTCAGCGGTGTTTTTGCTGACTGGGGTTTTTGCTTAAAAACAGACACAGCCTTCACTTGCTTGTACGTGGCACAGGAGGAAGAATTCGCTGTTTGAGGACAAGGTGAAAGCAAACGACCAAGCGGGCCACGGTGAAGCAAAATGGATAGCATCGCGACAAAACATCCCATTTTCAACTCCATTAGGCCCCCCTCACAGCCCTGACAGTTGTGCTTTTTGCCACTTCACATGATTAATCACGTGTGGAGCCTGCAACAGAAACACAGGAGCCCGAACAGCAGGCAGCTGAGGCTCCACGCTCCACGGAGATGACTGAAAAATCACAAGATACGCTGACAAGTGAAGTAGGGATGCACAAAGAAAGAGAATCAGGAGCTGGAACAAAGTCAGACTCCAACAACAACTGGTAGCGATGTTTTAACAAAGCTTAGGTTTGTGAAGTGTTCAGAGTGAATGTTAAACACTAAAGGCGCTTTTCTATTTAAAAAGGGATACTCCACCAGTTTTACACATCAAAGTGTGTTTACAGGTGTTGGGGAGCCTTTTGTGTTTGCACAAAGTCTGATAAACTGCCTTGTGTGATGTCACTTGAGGCCTTGGTTGGGTCGGAGGACTACAGATTTTGGGGTGTGGAGATCTGACCAGACCTCTGCAGCCTCTTCCTCAGCCTTGCTCGAGGCTACAGTGACTCGAAGCTACATTAGCTGCTACTAGCACAACAAACGTGGATCTAAATACCAAACTGTTAGCAGTTGAGCTGCATTGTGGGTAATGTAGGTGCCATGATTCGACAACAAAGAAGAATGAGTTGAATAAAAAAAAAATTAAAAAAAATACAATAATTCTTGTTCTGCTGTGTTTTTAAATCTTTTTTTGTCCGTCATGAGTCAGACAGTGTTTCAGTCGTTCAATGCTTAAACAGTGGAATACTATTTTAATTCATGCCTCACACT